AAGTGGTCATGCTAACATTTAACATAGACGTTAAAGTCATCATCCAAGTCATAGAGTAGATATTCACGTGTGTCGTCCAGCCAGTGTTCGGTAATAACCAAAATGTCACAGCTCATTAGTTTTGAGCGAATTTCATCTAAGCAATTCAATGCCCCACGCACATTCCACGTAATCATGCGAAGGATTGCCATTAGAACAAGTATGTATGTATGTATGTATGTATGTATGTATGTATGTATGTATGTATGTATGTATGTATGTATGTATGTATGTATGTATGTATGTATGTATGTATGTATGTATGTATGTATGTATGTATGTATGTATGTATGTATGTATGTATGTATGTATGTATGTATGTATGTATGTATGTACGTACGTACGTACGTACGTACGTATGTATGTATGTATGTATGTATGTTTGTCAATGGGGCATTAAACTCTACGTTGATAATAATTTTCACATCATAACTTCGTGATGAACGTGGGGAACCGGAGGCCCAGTCGCCTAAGATTCATAAATTCTAGGTCCGAGGATTAAATAGAAAAACTAGTGTACTATCTTTGATTAAGTCGTATTCTCATATAACAATGAATACAATCAATCAAAATACGCCCTACACAACTAGTATACCACTCAGAAGAAGTTAAAAAACACTCGATTCTTTAAGTGAGTGAGTGAGTGAGTTTTTGTTTTACACCTCTTTTAGCAATATTCCAGCAATATCACGGCGGGGGACACCAGAAATGGGCTTCACACATTGTACCCATGTCGGGAATCGAACCCGGGTCTTCGGCTTTAACCACCATGCTCCCGAGCTCCTGTTGTATGTAAACCAATATCAATGTATGGGAGTTGCGCACATTTTGGGACCAAAGGTCTTTTGTCACGGGATAAAGCGATCCCAAGGTCACTGATATGTTTAGGGGATAGTACTATATCATATTTCGTTAAAAGTAGCACGCCAATGTCCGAACCAGGAACGTTAACGTGGCACTCTTGTAATTTCGACTTGTATCCTAGTATTCATTTAATATCCTTTGGTGACTGATGTTATAAACAATTGCAAGATGAACCTTAAACAATGTCCCGTGTGGGTATGAATGTACCATGCATGTACTTTCTGCTTGAAATAACTCAACAATTATGAGTAAGTACGTGTAAGTAACGTAGTGTCCGAACATATGCCTTACTTATCAACAACATGCAATAAAAAATGATACCAGTAAGATGGTAAGATGTGTAAGTGATGTTTTGTTTGCTATTTAAGCTTGAAATAAAGGTCTATCTAAAAAAATATTCTAGCGTTTAACTTGCAATTGACTCATTTAGGAAATCTTTTCCCGAACATTTGGTATCATCACTATTTGATAGAGATTCATAAACACATGGAGTAGTGACCACATCCTCAAACTACCATCATACCCCTCACCATAGAAGAACAAATAAAACTTAGATTTCGTATGTTTTTGTATCCAGTGGACACGAAAATGGTGGTTTTGGTCAAATATTTTGGTGGCAGATAGCTTTTTGGGGTCCAAATGCACATTTATGTTGTAAACATTGAGAAAATCAAATAATGTCCTCTAAAAAGGTACTTTGTTCATTGAATCCTCTTTCTATCATGTATGTGACTGTTTGCAATTTGTAGACTTGAACTATGCCTATTTAAAACTACAACCTTGCACAAATTGAGAGAGAGTGAGAAATAATAAGGCCAAAATGGTAAATTTTGCGCTATTTTCGTTTTCTAGTTATTGGAAAATGAACTGCAATCATTTTGTAATATCAGCGTTATCAACCAGGCCATTTGATATTCTAAAATGTGCACATATGGTAATATGTTATCCCATCCGCCATTTTGTGAAAATGTGGCATTGTTGGCCCCATTCTTAATTTAATTTATCACCGTTTTCAAATACCATTTATATATAGGATAATATTAAAGATTTGCCTGGAGTCAATGACTGTTTTAAACCACTAAAGAGGACAATTTGAAGGTCAATGTCAATTTGAAGGTTAAGTTCTAATATGAAAGCATACACAGTATAAAAAATGTTACAAATGCACATACAACTATTGTTACTGGTTCTGGGTATGCTTGGTGAAGCCCTGTAGAATATACGAAGAAACATGTTCACAGGGAAATAATAACTGCTCCCTCTTACAAATTGACTACATACTGTGGCCTCAATATCAAGACACATAAAGGTATATGTTAACCTTAGAATCTGACATTAAGGTCACAATAGTTATGAATACACAATTGATGTCAATACCAAGAGTGTTCACTATTATGACAACATGTGTAATGACATGGATCATCCATAAGAGAGTGTCACTTAAACCACAAAACCCGTACAATTCGGAATGGCGAGAAGGTAGAGTATTAAAAAGTAGCAACAGATGAATATGTCTCGAGGAAACCGAGATATAACCGAGGAATATAATTACTCCGTATAAAAAATATTGTGGCTCTGTAGTGATGCTGCGTCCCAGACACACTTCTGCAGCCGTGTGTGAAATACTCATAAAGTCGGAAAGCGCACGTAAAGTCCCAAACTCTCTCTCTTTCTCCGCAGGTAACAGACCCGTGAAGATCCAGGGTAGAATAGGTCTTCAGCAACCCACGCTTGCCGTAAAAGGCGACTATGCTTGTCGTAAGAGGCGACTAACGGGATCGGGTGGTCAGGCTCGCTGACTTGGTTGATGCATGTCATCGATCCCAATTGCGTGGATCGATGCTCATGTTGTCAATCACTTGATTGTCTGTTCCAGACTCGATTACTTACAAACCGCCGCCATATACCTGGAATATTGCTGAGTACGGCGTTAAAAAACGCAGGTAACAAACAAACACTTACATGCACTTTCTTATGCAAATTGTGTGATACATTCGCATATATCCTTTGGATACGATCCAATTTATAGAGCTGAGTTAATCGAGACGGGTTATTCTCTGTTATATAGGCGACCCGGGACAGGCAAATGCATGCTTGTAACTGTGATCTAGTTGATCATATTTAAATAAAACTTATGATATTCTTATGGTGACGCAAGGTTATAAATTCAAAGAAGACAACTTTCTCAACATTGCTGACATATTCTGTGTGTTGTGTTGAAGAGTTTGTCAGAGTTTGAATTGAATTCCCTGGAAGTGTCCTTAAATTCCACAAGAGCATTTGCCCTCCTGTTATACAAGCAAAAAATTAAACAAAACAGCAGCACGCCCATAACTACAGACGATGCTTTCAAGCAACATGTGTTGAGAGCTATGTTTCAGATGGCAATATGGCTGCACAGTCATATACCAAAGTCTAGCTTTGAGAATACAGTGGGCCATGGGTGGAAACGAGGTAATGATGGGGTTCTTGAACGCAACATGTGTGTGAACCCGTGCGTACCCGTCCAAGTCAGATATATCACTCATCACATCTGCAGTGACAGGTTATGTGTCGCGTCCAGAAAGTCCTTGCCTAATGCGCCTTGATTCGCTGTGCAGAGTTGTGTCCCTTGGGCACGCCAGAAACCTATGATTGTGGGTTCGAATCCCGGTTCGCCCCGATTATGTTTCTAGGTTTGTCAGTACCATACCCGTGCTCGTGGGTTTCACCGAAGTGGTAAACGTGACCTGCATCACTTCGGGATTTCCTCCCACATTAAGCTGTGATACAACTGGAATATTGTTTAAAGCGGCGTTAAACCCAACTCACTCACTCACTCACTCATTGCCTCATGGCTGAGCTGCCATGTACTGAACACTTCAACATTCAGCCCATGATGATGAACCGGAAGCCTAGTAGTCACAGTGACTAATTGCATCTTACTGTATTTGAAAAAAAGACTGGATTTGTTAATGACTTATTGAAATTATTGAAGCAATCGGAGGTAATTATCTTATAAATGACAATAACATGTTCGACGGACTTCCTGTTTCGAAATCTAAATTTTGACATCTTAACATCTCATACGTTCCGAAATGAAGTCGATATATTGTCTTTCTCATGTATTGGTGGTATCTTGGTGGCCATTTTGTTCTCCATATGGGATAAATCAAGATCATCTATGGAAGATTGTGTTCAATTTATCATGTGTTCAAATAAATACATTTTGTGTTGGAATATGTAATTTAATATGAACAAGGGAGTGGGATCAAATTTACTAAATTTTCAGAAATGATGTTATACCTACATTACTTGATTTTTATTTTTTATTAGCTCCTAACGTATGTTGTCAGATTTTGAAATAGCAAACGACATGACAGACAATATAGACGTTACATTATCTTCAGTTTGTAATCATTTGAAAATGAAAATAGATTTGTTTCCATGTTTTCCACACATTTGGGCTTGATTAAAACATGTTTGGTTATTGTTCAATTTTTGGTTTCCCATGTCATAACATTGATTGTGCGATAAAATGACCATTCCAGTTCACAAACTAACTTGTTAAGAGCCATTTATTTTATGTGACAAATGTGACACCAAAAATGTTCATTTTCCACACAAAAAAACATGTCTGTCACCAAAGAAATAATTTTCTTATGCGTAAATGACAAAAGTGGTTGTGGTTTGTTCTACTGTGGGGAGGGGTTACTCCTAAAAAACCCCGACTTTTATGGGGTTGCCGGTATGGTCGCTTGTACGTTTGTGAATATATACGTGATATCTGAAGTATACTGGTTTATAATACCAAATTCACTATGAATTCGACGACAAATGCAACCTAATCCATACTATGTATCTAAAGACACGTCAGGAAAACTAGTTTTATTCATACATTAAGGTATATTCACTCAAGTCAAAATAAGGAACTGCATTAGGCATTCAATCAAAGTGTGAATGAGTGCATCTGCAATAATGTTACATTCGTAGGGTGACATAAGCAGGAATAGTCAAACAAAAAGAGTTTTATAGTTATCGCCTAAGAGTATGTTTGATTCAGAATTATTAAGAATTGAATAAATATACCCTGCAAATATATCTTTGCTTTTTCCCAGACCTTCACACTACACACAAGAACGTCTCCGGTCACGAAGAACAGGACGACCATGAACGCCATGAAGGTCATAATAGTAGTGAAAGTCACCAAAGTCATCATGGTCAACATGGAAGCCACGACAGTCATGGAAGTAGTGGAAGTGAGGAACATCATGGTCGTCATGGCAGGCACCACGACAGTCATGGAAGTAGCGGAAGTGAGGAACATCATGGTCGTGATGGCAGCCACCACGACAGTCATGGAAGTAGCGGAAGTGAGGAACATCATGGTCGTGATGGCAGCCACCACGATAGTCATGGAAGTAGCGGAAGTGAGGAACATCATGGTCGTGATGGCAGCCACCACGACAGTCATGGAAGTAGCGGAAGTGAGGAACATCATGGTCGTGATAGCAGCCACCACGACAGTCATGGAAGTAGCGGAAGTGAGGAACATCATGGTCGTGATGGCAGCCACCACGGCAGTCATGGAAGTAGCGGAAGTGAGGAACATCATGGTCGTGATGGCAGCCACCACGACAGTCATGGAAGTAGCGGAAGTGAAGAACATCATGGTCGTGATGGCAGCCACCACGACAGCCATGGAAGTAGCGGAAGTGAGGAACATCATGGTCGTGATGGCAGACACCAGGACAGTCATGGAAGTAGCGGAAGTGAGGAACATCATGGTCGTGATGGCAGACACCAGGACAGTCATGGAAGTAGCGGAAGTGAGGAACATCATGGTCGTCATGGCAGGCACCACGAAAGCCATGGAAGTAGCGGAAGTGAGGAACATCATGGTCGTGATGGCAGCCACCACGACAGTCATGGAAGTAGCGGAAGTGAGGAACATCATGGTCGTGATGGCAGCCACCACGACAGTCATGGAAGTAGCGGAAGTGAGGAACATCATGGTCGTGATGGCAGGCACCACGACAGTCATGGAAGTAGCGGAAGTGAGGAACATCATGGTCGTGATGGCAGCCACCACGACAGTCATGGAAGTAGCGGAAGTGAGGAACATCATGGTCGTGATGGCAGCCACCACGACAGTCATGGAAGTAGCGGAAGTGAGGAACATCATGGTCGTGATGGCAGCCACCACGACAGTCATGGAAGTAGCGGAAGTGAGCAACATCATGGTCGTCATGGCAGTCATCACGATAGTCATGGAAGTAGCGGAAGTGGGGAACATCATGGTCGTCATGGCAGCGACAACGACAGTCATGGAAGTAGCGGAAGTTGGGAACATCATGATCGTCATGGCAGCCACCACGACAGTCATGGAAGTAGCGGAAACAAAGAACATGAAGGTCACCATGGCAGCCATGAGAGTGGGGAACATGACAACCACAAAGGAAATACAAGTAGCGAAAGTCACGAAGACCATGGCCATCTCGACCACAACGAAACTCATAGCAGTAATGAAAGCCACGAACATCATGGTCGTCATGACAGCCACCACGACAGTCATGGAAGTAGCGGAAGTGAGCAACATCATGGTCGTCATGGCAGACACCATGACAGTCTTGGAAGTAGCGGAAGTGAGGAACATCATGGTCGTGATGGCAGCCACCACGACAGTCATGGAAGTAGCGGAAGTGAGGAACATCATGGTCGTGATGGCAGCCACCATGGCAGTCACGGAAGTAGCGGAAGTGAGGAACATCATGGACGTGATGGCAGACACCACGATAGTCATGGAAGTAGCGGAAGTGAGGAACATCATGGTCGTGATGGCAGACACCACGACAGTCGTGGAAGTAGCGGAAGTGAGGAACATCATGGTCGTGATGGCAGCCACCATGACAGTCATGGAAGTAGCGGAAGTGAGGAACATCATGGTCGTGATGGCAGCCACCATGGCAGTCACGGAAGTAGCGGAAGTGAGGAACATCATGGACGTGATGGCAGACACCACGATAGTCATGGAAGTAGCGGAAGTGAGGAACATCATGGTCGTGATGGCAGCCACCACGACAGTCATGGAAGTAGCGGAAGTGAGGAACATCATGGTCGTCATGGCAGACACCACGATAGTCAAGGAAATAGCGGAAGTGAGGAACATCATGGTCGTGATGGCAGCCACCACGACAGTCATGGAAGTAGTGGAAGTGAGGAACATCATGGTCGTGATGGCAGACACCACGATAGTCATGGAAGTAGCGGAAGTGAGGAACATCATGGTCGTCATGGCAGGCACCATGACCGTCATGGAAGTAGCGGAAGTGAGGAACATCATGGTCGTCATGGCAGACGCCACGACAGTCATGGAAGTAGCGGAAGTGAGGAACATCATGGTCGTGATGGCAGCCACCACGACAGTCATGGAAGTAGTGGAAGTGAGGAACATCATGGACGTTATGGCAGCCACTACGATTGTCATGGAAGTAGCGGAAGTGAGGAACATCATGGTCGTCATGGCAGGCACCATGACAGTCATGGAATTAGTGGAAGTGAGGAACATCATGATCGTCATGGCAGACGCCACGACAGTCATGGAAGTAGCGGAAGTGAGGAACATCATGGTCGTGATGGCAGCCACCACGACAGTCATGGAAGTAGTGGAAGTGAGGAACATCATGGACGTTATGGCAGCCACTACGATTGTCATGGAAGTAGCGGAAGTGAGGAACATCATGGTCGTCATGGCAGGCACCATGACCGTCATGGAAGTAGCGGAAGTGAGGAACATCGTGGTCGTGATGGCAGACGCCACGACAGTCATGGAAGTAGCGGAAGTGAGGAACATCATGGTCGTGATGGCAGCCACCACGACAGTCATGGAAGTAGTGGAAGTGAGGAACATCATGGACGTCATGGCAGCCAATTCGATTGTCATGGAAGTAGCGGAAGTGAGGAACATCATGGTCGTCATGGCAGGCACCATGACCGTCATGGAAGTAGCGGAAGTGAGGAACATCATGGTCGTGATGGCAGACGCCACGACAGTCATGGAAGTAGCGGAAGTGAGGAACATCATGGTCGTGATGGCAGCCACCACGACAGTCATGGAAGTAGTGGAAGTGAGGAACATCATTGTCGTCTTGGCAGACACCAGGACAGTCATGGAAGCAGCGGAAGTGATGAACATCATGGTCGTCATGGCAACCACAACGACAGTCATGGAAGTAGCGGAAGTGAGGAACATCATGGTCGTCGTGGCAACCACCACGACAGTCATGGAAGTAGCGGAAGTGAGGAACATCATGGTCGTCGTGGCAGCCACCATGACAGACACGGAAGAAGCGATAGTGGGGAACATCATGGTCGTCATGGCAATCATCATTAGAGTCACGAATATCATGGTCGTCATGGCAGCCAACACTACAGTCACTGAATTAGCGCAAGTCACGAAGATCATGGTCATCATGGCAGCCGCGAAAGTCTTTGAAGAAGCGGAAGCCAGGAGCATGCTGGTCATCATGTCAGCTGCATGTAACTCACAGCGACACTCGCCCGATATTTCACAGTTCAACCAGTTCCCTGTAACCGTTTTCAAATCCGATAGAATAATAGTGCCTCGATACTGGATATGTAGTCATCAGTATATTATGTCAACAAATGTAGCATCTAAAATGCTCTTTAGCATTTTATTCCTTTATTTAATGCATGAAGACTTAAATAAAAAGAAGAATTAAACCCGTCAATCTGGCAGTTACGGAGAAGTTGTTTTGATACATCGCAAAAGACAGAAAGTATTAAGGTCAAGTGAGCTGCTGACAATGACTGGTTTTGGGACAACTTACCTTATCTTAGTGTGCTGTACGTATCAGTATTTCCTTCTATAAATCATGTATATACGTATAAACCTGCTCTTTTCATTGTTTTTACCCAAGAATCCAGTACGAGAACATCCTCTCGACCTCTTACCTCATCCTCATTTAGGCTCCAGGTACAGAGCCTGACATTCAGAGGTATTGTTACAGCTTTCCTATCCACGGAAATTCCGATCACCGCTTTCTTTGATTATACGTAGGGTGCATTCGCGACCTGTTTGGAATATCAACATCCGTGAGGTTTAGTTCAGACAATCAAGGTCATTTATTCACTCAACTTGGAACAAATTGCAACAGAACTTATTTCACCACAATCCATATCTATAAGAGCCCAAGAACAACCTATTAAATGTCCTAAGCAATCCTAGTCTAATTTGCATAATATTATATGGCCACCAATTATCAATACATCTTCCATATTTCAGATGAGGTTAAATATGTTGATGAAAAAAGCATATGTTTTATTGCGAAATAGCCATATTGTGTTTCTAAAAAGATATTCACAATAACTGTACCTTTTCGACTGTCGATAAATCTACAAACATTCAAGATGGCCGCCAATTTCAAAATGCCGACAAGTTCCTTTATGCGAGCTTAGACTGTGGAATCTCTTAATTAAAAAACCGTATGCTTCTTTCTTCGATTAAATAAACATTTCCCCTTGAAATAAACTGTCACACCAAAGTCCAGGCAAAATAAGGTTTCACTTGGAACAAATTGCAACATAATTTATTTCACCACAATGCATTTCCACAATGTCCCAAGAACAACATATTAAAAGTCCCAAGCAATCCTAGTTTGGGAAATATGTCTAATTTGCATAATCCAACATGACCACCAATTATCTATATATCTTCCAGCATGTGTTCTATTGCTAAATAGTCATATTGTGTTTCTAAAATAATATTAACAATTACTGAACGTTTTCGACTGTCGATAAATCCACAAAAATTCAAGACGGGCGACAAGTTTCCTTCATATGAGTTTAGACTGTGGAATCGTTTAACTCAAGCTAGGACTTACATGCATAGTTATTACTTGGTACACTAACTCACTGAAGTATAGTTAACATTTATAGATAAGAAACGCCATCAACAGAGGCCCCTGGTACCCAAAAAGTCCAAGATGGCCGCCAAGAGATTGCTGGGTAGACATGGAATATCAATACACTGTTGGTCTCTGATGACATATTTGAGTAATTTGAACTTATATATTGAAGTAAACAGACCCAAGGATGCATGTAGAATACTCAATTATTTGCATACATCTAATATAACCACCAAATATCAATATTCATCTCTTAAATGACATGTTTTGGGGAGTTTAAATACCAATGTTGATTGTTATTGTCTGTATCTACTTATTACCTTGTTATATTGGATGTATGCAAATGATTGAGTATTCTACACGCTTCTTTGGGTTTGTTTACTCCACTATAGAAGTTCAAATTACTCAAATATGTCATCAGAGACCAACAGTGTATTGATATTCCATGTCTATCCAACAATCTCTTGGCGGCCATGTTTTAATTTTTGGCCACCAAAGGGGCTCTGTTGATTGAGTTTCTTTTCTGAAAATGATAACTATACTTCAGTGAGTTAGTGTACCAAGTAATAACTATGCATATAAGTCCTAGCAAGCTGTTTTTGAGTTAAACGATCCCACAGTCTAAACCCACATTAAGGAAACTTGTCGGCCGCCTTAGAAACACAATATGGCTATTTCGCAATAGACCACATGTTTTTTTCATCAAAAGATTGAACCTCATCTGAAATATGGAAGATATATTGATAATTGGCGGCCATATTGGATAATGCAAATTAGACCTAATTTCCCAAATAGGATCGCTTGGGGCGTTTAGTATGTTGTTCATGGGGAATTTTTAGAAATGCATTGTAGTGAAATTAATTATGTTTCAATTTGTTTCAAGTGAAACCTTATTTTGCCTGGACTAGATGGGGTCCTAACAAGGTCAATAAACAGTTGAGACAGTGAAGAGTGCCTAAACGGCCTCTTTGTTTCCATACGTTTGTTTCTTAACTAGAAACGGTTCTCAAATTTGTTTGTGAGGAAACATATGCCTACATTAATATCTGATGATAAGGGACTGTCCATTAGCAGCGAGCATCTTGAACCAACTGTGAGACCCCATCTTACTGCCAGGTTGAAAAGCGAAAAAGCTTTGAGTACGTTCCGCCAAAACATCACACGTGGTTCCAAAGGCATCCATGTCAAAGCTAACACTTGTATAACGGTCAGTGGCCAGGGCCCCGTTCCACAAAGCGATCTAACTGCTGTCTTTGTGTATGTAAACCTGTGTTAAAGTATCGGAGTTGAGCTCGTCATGGGAATAAGATCGGTTTATGAAAGGTGGTCCTCAGCGTGGTTCCCTGTGTATGCTGCGCTCGCGCTACACTCAGTGTAGCGGAGCGCAGCATACCCAGGGAACCAGGCTGCGTGGCCCTGGGCTTGTCGGTCGGCTATTAAGTACAGCTGCACTCAATACTCAGGGGGTACATGTACTTGCTTGTGGTATTAACGCACGCTCAGGTCATAGGTTCTTGTGTCCGGGACCAAGAGATGCTGAGGTCACTGACACGTGTAGACGAGAGAACGTTGACGTGGCATATTTGTAATTTCGAGTTGTGAGCTAGAATTCATTTAATTTCATATTTAATTCGGTGACTGATGGTATAAACAATTGGAATAATATAAACCTAAAACATGTTCCGTGCTGGTGTTACGGTACCAACTTGTTGTTCCTGTTTGAATTAACTCAACAATTATTGGTTAGTAACTTGCTGTCCGAACATATCCCTTACAAAATAAAATTAAAATGTTCAAAAACCGACTCCAGTAAGATGTACTGGTAAGTTGTGTCTGCTATTTAAGCTTCAAAGTATAAGGATTACAGCAAAAAAGCTATATTTTAGCATTTAACTTACAACTGATTTTATTGAGGAAATCGTTTCGCGAACACTTGTTCTCGTCACTATTTCATAGCGATTCACAAACACATGCTTCTGAAATATTCGAAATAGTACATGGACCCTGCTTTTAGATGAGGGTTCCTTATGATTATAGAAAGCATTTCATCGATTCTATTTTCGGTGCATATACAGGTCTTACACCAGTGACTATACACGTCTTATATATCCAATTTGAAAGTATACTGGTTTTGGCCTATTCAAAAATTAATAATGAATTCAATGTATTTAAGTTGTCAATGCAAGAGAATAACCAGTCTAGACTATCTGAGAATCAGATTCCAAAATAGGGCAAAATAGCTGTGAAAATTGTATGAATGGATCACTGAAAAGCAGTGATGACACCAGGTGTTCGCGAAAAGGTAAACATGTCCTGCCTTACCGGTAGCACTCGCTATTAACACAATTTGCACGACAAATAAATATTTATTGCCTGACGCCGGACACCAGTACTTCTGACATGCCACGGAGGCCTGGAAACAAACCAGACAATTGAGTGATCGATGAACCAGACTTGAACCAAAAGAAATTGACAAATGCAACCTAATTCATAGTATTTATCTTAAGACATCGGTTGAAATTACCTTTACGACAAACACAGACCTTTACGTCATTCACGTCTAATTCAAATTCAGTTATAATTCTATCATTTCATATGTACCAATCTCATATATAATTGTCAAAATAGGGAACTGCATCGGATACTTCCAAATCTGGTAACATAATATAATAACGTGAAATTCAGAGTGAGTCTAAATATGGGGTTACGAAAACAGCATAAGTAAACACACATACCGCCGTCATATAGCTGGGATATATATCTATATATCTGAGTTAGGCGTTAAACAAACAACGAACATATAATGCATTACCACTGGGTGAATAATAGTCTTCAGAAAGGGCAGTGTCTGTATCCCACGACAGGAAAGGGACGCAACTCTGCACGGTGAATTATACCTCAAGTAATGTTAGAGAGTGAATCAAAGTGTGAATGGATGCATCTGCAAATATATATATATATGACATAACCAGCAATCGACAAACCAAAAGAGTTTGATAACAATCGCTCAAATACATATTATTAATTAATTTAGAATTAATAAAGAATTGTATACATGTACGTAGCTATTATGTCATTTCTTTTTCCCAGACCTTCATACTACACACAAGAACGTCTCGAATCACGGAGAATATGACGACCACGATAGCCATGCTCATATTTATAGCCATGAAGGTCATAGTCACCATCGTAATAAACGTAGCGAAAATCATCACGATCAATATGGCAACTACGAACTGATCAGAAGTAGCGGAGGTGGGGAACCTCATGGTCGTCATGACAGCCACCACGACAGTCATGGAAGTAGCGGAAGTGAGGAACATCATGGTCGTCATAACAGCCACGACAGTCATGGAAGTAGCGGAAGTGAGGAACATCATGGTCGTGATGGCAGCCACCAGGACGGTCACGGAAGTAGCGGAAGTGAGGAACATCATGGTGATCATGGAAGCCACCACGACAGTCATGGAAGTAGCGGAAGTGAGGAACATCATGGTCGTCATGGCAGGCACCACGACAGTCATGGAAGTAGCGGAAGTGAGGAACATCATGGTCGTCATGGCAGCTACCACGACAGTCATGGAAGTAGCGGAAGTGAGGAACATCATGGTCGTCATGGCAGCCACCACGACAGTCATGGAAGTAGCGGAAGTGAGGAACATCATGGTCGTCATGGCAGGCAACACGACCGTCTTGGAAGTAGCGGAAGTGAGGAACATCATGGTCTTCATGGCAGGCACCACGACAGTCATGGAAGTAGCGGAAGTGAGGAACATCATGGTCGTCATGGCAGACACCAAGACAGTCATGAAAGTAGCGGAAGTGAGGAACATCATGGTCGTTATGGCAGACACCACGACAGTCATGGAAGTAGCGGAAGTGAGGAACATCATTGTCGTCATAGCAGCCACCATGACAGTCATGGAAGTAGCGGAAGTGAGGAACATCATGGTCGTCATGGCAGGCAACACGACCGTCGTGGAAGTAGCGGAAGTGAGGAACATCATGGTCGTGATGGCAGCCACCACGACAGTCATGGAAGTAGCGGAAGTGAGGAACATCATGGTTGTCATAACAGCCACGACAGTCATGGAAGTAGCGGAAGTGAGGAACATCATGGTCATCATGCCAGGCACCACGACAGTCATGGAAGTAGCGGAAGTGGGGAACATCATGGTCGTCATGGCAGGCACCACGACAGTCATGGAAGTAGCGGAAGTGAGGAACATCATGGTCGTCATGGCAGGCACCACGACAGTCATGGAAGTAGCGGAAGCGAGGAACATCATGGTCGTGATGGCAGACACCACGATAGTCATGGAAGTAGCGGAAGCGAGGAACATCATGGTCGTCATGGCAGCCACCACGATAGTCATGGAAGTAGCGGAAGTGAGGAACATCATGGTCGTCATGGCAGCCACCATGACAGTCATGGAAGTAGTGGAAGTGAGGAACATCATGGTCGTCATGGCAGCCACCACGACAGTCATGGAAGTAGCGGAAGTGAGGAACATCATGGTCGTCATGGCAGCCACCACGACAGTCATGGAAGTAGTGGAAGTGAGAAACATCATCGTCGTCATGGCAGGCACCACGATAGTCATGGAAGAAGAGGAAGCGAGGAACATCATGGTCGTCAAGGCAACCACCACGACAGTCATGGAAGTAGCGGAAGTGAGGAACATCATGGTCGTCATGGCAGACACCACGACAGTCATGGAAGTAGCGGAAGCGAGGAACATCATGGTCGTCATGGCAGCCACCACGATAGTCATGGAAGTAGCGGAAGTGAGGAACATCATGGTCGTGATGGCAGCCACCATGACAGTCATGGAAGTAGTGGAAGTGGGGAACATCATGGTCGTGATGGCAGCCACCACGACAGTCATGGAAGTAGCGGAAGTGAGGAAAATCATGGTCGTCATGGCAGCCATCATCACAGTCATGGAAGTAGCGGAAGTGAGGAACATCATGGTCATCATGGCAGCCACGAAAGAAATGAAAGTAGCGGAAGCAAAGAACATCATGTCTTTGATAATTATACCAGCTCCGACCTTCATCATCGCCATCATCCAGACCATGACAGTAAGAAAACATGTTGGATACATTTACGAATACATAACAACATCAATCAGTTTTATCCATACTGACGGGATGGTAGGCATCATTGTGCTTTAATGGTAATATCGCTACTAATTCTGTATTTATGTTATGTTTGTGAACAGACTGTAAGTCATCCATTCCATAAGAGTCAAACGATTTTATGATAAGATCCCTACCTTGACACTTGAAATATTAGTATGTACCATTTTAAATTGGGGAAAGTGGGTCATGCAACGGTGTCTTCACGTGTGTTTATGTGAATCTGTATGAAGACGTTAATTAGTTTTGGGGCCTTTTTCTGCATAAATTACAAATATAACTGTCCGCCTATGCCAATTGTGTTTCAGCATACGTGTATGGTCGCTGTCACATGCACTTGAACCCGGGTCAAATTGGCGGCTCACCGCACAATATCCTTGGCTGGATCGCCTTCAGACAGCAGGTAAGTTATAATGCCATAACTCTTTCTAACCTTGTTGATTGTATATAGTTCTGGAACTGTATTGACGCTACGCCGTGGTAATCATCGTTTCGACAAAATAAGTATATGAGTTTGCGTTTCAGTGCTTATTATTCCAGACTTGTGAGAAAGGTGGGGGGTGGAGTGTGTGTGTGTTTGTGTGTGTGTTTGTGTGTGTGTTTGTGTGTGTGTGTGTGTGTGTGTGTGTGTGTGTGTGTGTGTGTGTGTGTGTGTGTGTGTTTGTGTGTGTATTTGAGTGTGTGTGTGTGTGTGTGCCTGTGTGTGACGTTACATACTGTACCACATTGTACACGCAACTCTGTAACTTACTCTATAAACGTTTATCAATATATACTACTCAAAAGAAGTTAAGGGCACACGATTTTCTCACATGACCATAGTTAATCTATCATGCCAGTCAACTGGACACATCGGTTGTTCTTTAACTCTGTTTGAGGAGTATATGATAATCAAAGTATTTATTACGACGATTTATTGACAGCCGATTTTTTTCATTTGACCATAGTATTTTATGGAGAATCTCACCTCAGTCTTTTCGTGTACATCAGCACAAGTCGATTATCAGGAGCAAAGCCCGAGGTTTCCCGAGTGTTGACATTTACTGATAAAATACCTTCGGATCATAAATATTTTACTTTGTAGTGAAGACTGACTCGTTTTTTTGTTCAGAATGTTTAATTTCAAGGTGAGGATTTGTTTATTATGCATTATGCATTCTCAATCTATGAGACTCAAAGAATGTATTAATTTAATTACCACGTGGACGAATTAAACCAGATTAAAAAAAATGAAAACACGTCGTCAAAATCAAACTGCGTTTCTTTTATTCAAATAAAACTTTTGCAGGCTAGTTATTTTATCTAACGGCATGCTTGGGTAATACCCTAGCATGGCGGGGGCACGGTTGGCCCAGTCGTCTAAGGCGCCGCGATTCGCTGTGCAGAGTTGCGTCCCTTGGGCACGCCAGGAACCTATGATCGTGGGTTCGAATCCCGTTTCGCCCCGATTATGTTTCCAGGTTTGTCAGCACCATACCCGTGCTCGTGGGTTTCACCGAAGTGGTAAACGTCCGAGACCTGCATCACTTCGGGCTTTCCTCCCACATTAAGCTGACACGCCGTGATATAACTGGAATAATGTTAAAAGCGGCGTTAAACCAAACTCACTCACTCACCCCTAGCATGGCAACATATTTCTGGCAAAAAGGACGAGAATGGGCCAGTTTGGCTTGTCACGTCAACTCAATCGCGTGTGCATTATGCCGCAAATGACCTGCTTCGTCCCCTAAATTCGTTATCATAATCTATGGCAAAGTCGTTAATATTGCCATGCTGGAGTACATTTGTGTATACAGAAAGATTGGGTATAGTTCTACTATACCTGTGCCGACAACGACGCCTACAGTCCGAATAAAACATTTTACAGACGCTTTTCGATGTGATCTTGCGACTGACTGTTTTACCAAAAGGGGGATGAGGTGAGGGGAGGTGAGATGAGGTGTAGATTAACGTCGTTCGCGTAAAGATTATTTCACTTCTATAGCGACGTGCATGAATGCGTGTTTGGCTGCTTGTATCAGTCGGTTTTATAGTGCTAGCCCACTGAGATACCGTAAGGATGGATACATGTTACGACGTAAATTGTAATAACGCGGTAAATTGTAATACGTATACTGCGGTAAAATGTTATACATACTGTGGTAAATTGTAATAACTTCACTGCGGTAAATTATAATAAAAATTGCGGCAAATTGTAATAACTTAAACTGCGGTAAATTGTAATAAAAATGCGGCAACTTGTAATAACCACTGCGGTAAATTGTAATAAATACCCTTCTCAGACAGTTATACCGACTCCGATCCGTTTCTTAATGCCGAAACAAGAAGTATTTTAACGTATTTTCCTTTGGAGCAGTCAGGGATTTAACCACAGACCTTCCGCTCCCAGGGTATACGAAAAGCCTATATGTATGTGTATCATCGGGGTTTGTCTGACACACAATTAGTTGTCGGGTACTCATTTTCCAAACCTTTATAAAGAGGGTACTAATTGTCGATTCTGCCTCGGTCGAATCTCTACTGATGATTGGCCGTTAATATGTTCAATATATATGTTATAAGCCACATAAAAAGGCCCCCTTTTAATCTAGCACAACTGTCTTTCAGAATCATGACCCATTTAGCCTTTACTGCAACTGTAACAAAATTGAAGATTTTTTAACAGTTTTTCTCTCTTTTTTTGCCTTTTTTCGATCAGGAAATATAACTCAGGCTTAATATAACTCAAATACGTAACCATTTAAGTAAGTGTCAAATTGCAAGTCTCATGTCAACCTATGTATATACTAACGGGAAAAAGTAACTGTGCTTCATATCAATTTCAATTAAAATATGGTTATTCTGAAATCAAATAATGCATCTTTCAATACATATTTTGAATGAGAACAGCACATAATGATTGTTTAGCTATCAGGTTTCGTACACTGTTGTTAAACGTTAAATAACGTCTTACGCAATGACTTGTTGAAAGTGAACGTCTCCGCGCCGTGGGTATATTTCAAAACGAAGTTGCCAGACATTTAATCGAAACACAATGTCATCTCTTTGGATAAGTTGTCTACAGCAAGGCAATACGAGAACCTCATTGGTTTGGTTGGTTTGTTGTTTAACGCCGCTCTCAGCAATATTCCAGATATATGACTCTCTCTAAATAGTCGAGTCTGGACCAGACAATCCAGTCATCAATATCATGAGCATCGATCTACGCATTTGGGATCGATGACATGCATCAACCAAGTCAGCCAGCCTGACCACCCGATCCCATTAGTCGCCTCTTACTACAAGCATAGTCGCTTTTTACGACAAGAATGGGTTGCTGAAGACCTATTCCACCCCAGATCTTCACGGGTCTATATATACTCACACGCAAAAGAAACGCAAGTCGAGTATGCAGTATACATGTTATTTATTTTCAACAGTAAAGACAAGAAATACTAATAGGGCAAGATTGACAAAATATTGACTGAAGACAGTTTAATGGATTAAAAGGCAGATGACATAATTGTTTTTTTTGAAATGTTAAGGGCTTACACAGTTTCGGGTCAATACCCAAAATATCAGTCAATACCTGGTGTGACCACCATTAACATTGATCACTGCCACACATCACCTGTACATTGAGTGGATCAGACGATTTGTGAAGGCCCTGGGGATCCTCCTGCACACATCCAGAGCAGCTGTGCGTAGTTCATCGGCAGTTGTAGGGACTGGGCGCACATTGTGCAGACGCCTTTGAACCTCATCCCATAAGTGTTCGATGGGGTTCAGATCAGGGCTGAGGGCTGGCCACGGTAGAACACGGATGTTGTGTTGTTGCAGAAAGGCCATGGTAGCTCTGGCAACACGGGGACGAGCGTTGTCCTGCTGGTAAATGTGTTGTTGATGTTGTCCCCGACCTTGACAAACATTCAGAAAGCACATGGGTCCAAGTCTCGCATTAAGTCCAACCCCTGCCCATATCATGACGCTAGGTCCACCCCATGGATCCCTTTCCACAACTTTTCTGTCAGCGAAACGATCACCTCGACGCCGCCAAATTCTGACTCTTCCGTCTGCATGGGAGACACAAAAGCGACTTTCATCAGAGAAGATGACACGCCTCCACTCACGATGACGCCAATTGTGATTACCCTGTGCTCACTGAAGTCGTGCTTGTCGACGCCGTGGTTCGAGAACAGGACGACGTGCTGGTCGGCGACATCTGAGGTTGTTGGAACGGAGACGTCGGATCACAGTGTCCCGGCTAATGTGTCGATTATGTGTTCCTATGGTCTGTCGAGCACTTTCACTTGCAGTTAGGAACGGATGTCGCTAATGTTGACGGGTAATCTGCCGATCTTGTCGAGGTGTGGTGACCCTAGGACGACCAGTCTGAGGAAGGTCATCTGTGGTCTGTGTAGCATTGTATAGATGCAGGAGACGGTAACGTGTGGTTATGTTAACGTTGAAATGACGGGCAACATCTTGGACAGACTCTCCAGCTTCCAAACGTCCGATAGCCTTGTTTCTCTGAATTTGAGTTAGGCGTGGCATTGTTGACCAAGGAGTGGTAGGTCCAAGAATCGGCCACAGTTTTATACCCAATACAGTTCGTGACAGTTCGTGCATTTTCGATTTCGCGAGAAATGGGTGCATGATACCCACGTATTCATTGAAATAGTGCGTTTTGGCGATTCGTTTTTTACTCGGGGCTTCCAAAATACAACCAAAAATATTGATAACACCATCAGGCTTCACTACATGCTAAAACCCGTATCAATTTGTGGTTCCGTGTTTGTTACCTATTTGCTTAAAACCACTTGCGTTTCTTTTGCGTGTGAGTATATATAACCACATTGAGCTGGTGCATCAACGGAATCGACAGCTCGGACAATTCCCGGGTTGAGGAGGCGATACCCAACGTTGCTTCCACGTCACCGTCAAACTTCCACGTCACCGTCAAACTTCCACGTCACCGCCAAACTTCCACGTCACCGTCAAACTTCCACGTCACCGTCAAACTATGGGGTCATAATAATTCATGGGGTACAGAAAACAAAACTGGGACAGTATACTGTTCACAGGTGAGTCCAGGTTTCATCTGGACAGCTCTGACGGTTGTACAAGGGTCTGCAGGTGTCCTGGATAACGTTTTAGCGACGCTTACGTTACTCAACGTCGTCAGTTTTTGGGTGGAAGTGCAATGCAATGATGTGTCACCACAACTCATAGGAGAACACAACTCAGTTGCTAATAGATATTTGAATAGAGAATTATATCGGAACGACATCGTTTGGGATCACGTTCTACCTTGTGCAAATACAGGGGCATAAGTCACGTTGCAGCAGAATAATGCCTGCCCACGTGTTGAAGGTCTTGTTCCATTATTCTTTTGAGGCATCATAACATTGCAGGACCAAACGAGCCGGCAGCGCTAGCTCAATCTTTGGTTGACATCTAGAACAAAATCCCTCAGGCTGTAAATAGTGGTCACATCCGATATGTACATAACTGCTAGTTACACCACCTATCTTATGTATGTATGTATGTATGTATGTATGTATGTATGTATGTATGTATGTATGTATGTATGTATGTATGTATGTATGTATGTATGTATGTATGTATGTATGTATGTATGTATGTATGTATGTATGTATGTATGTATGGATGGATGGATGGATGGATGGATGGAAAATGTATGTATGTATGTATGTATGTATGTATGTATGTATGTATGTATGTATGTATGTATGTATGTATGTATGTATGTATGGATGGATGTATGGATGGATGTATGGATGTATGTATGTATGTCTCTCTGTGTATTTTGTTATAGTTCTTGTAATGAATATTGTGTTATAGTCCTGAATTATTATGGCCTATAAGAGCAGAATATTTAACATAATCAATGCTTTTTCTTGTTGGTATATTAGCAACTGAAAAGTGTGTATATGCGTGTGTGTGTGTGTGTGTGTGTGCGCGCGCGCGTGCTCGCGAAAGAAAGTATACCATTGTTTGACAGTAGCTAAAACTGAAACAAACAAGAATTGGTTGAGAAAGAATTTTATTGGTATCATAGGCGATATACATGTATTATCACAACGGGCGATTGTTTTTGGCCAAGTAACGTTTGTAATTGTATCAAATCCAATGTTCCAGTGTATACCTTCTTTTGCAGTACAGTTTATATTGTAATCCTGTATTTGGGTCAATGGCCTTTCATGCAATTATCATCATGAGCTTCATATTTTCTCCTTATCATTATCATAACGCTAAGCGCCGTTTTCGTCAGATTCACAAGCCTCTGGAGATGAGAATTTATCTCAAAGGATTCCACGTCCCAGCTGAAAGCATTGACAACCCTAGCATGCGCAAACATGGATTCCACGTTCATGAATATGGTGACTTTAAACGAGGATGTAACTCATTCGGCGGCCACTTTGACCCTGATAATGTCACTCACGGTAGCCCAGACGCAGCCCAAAGGTTGGCATTCCATTTTTGACTACTGACAATCGCTAATTTGTAATCTTCACAAATGTTTTTAATCAGTTCATTTCTCAGCTACACCCAAACCTAACGCCTAACCTCGTCTTTGGCGTATTAATACACACAGATGGTGGTAGTTTTCGACAGAAGAAACATCCACAAGCCTTGCGTCGGTTAGGGCTGAGACTCTTCAACATGTTGTTGCTGATCATGAAATACTGTCGACCCATTGTTTTCACACATTGCCAATGACTTCAGTTAGTAGTCTATAGTACATCAAATCAAATAGAAGGGACGTTAAACAAACTGAAGTCGTCTTAATTCAAAATGGAATTATTATTATAATATGAAGTGTTAATAGTTTTATTTCGTTCATGTGCGTGCACGTTTCTTAGGTGAAACAACACTTCATTCCTATTGACTATTTTTACAGACATGCTGGTGATTGGGGAAACATTGCGAGTGACAACAATGGCAACATAGACATGAAAATGACGGACCACAGCTGCAACCTTGTCGGAGTCCATTCTATCATCGGCAGGGGCATTGTGGTATGTGTAGTTACGTCTCTCTGCACACCCCCCCCCCCCCCCCCCCCCACCCTCTTCTCCCAGCCCTTACCCTCACGGGCTGCACGGTCTTCTAATTCGATTAAGCATAAAGCAGAATCGATTGAAATATTGGCTTATATTATACAAATACATAACAAATAGTTGCTTCATGCAGTTGACAATAATATCTTCATTGAGTCACGTTTTATGCATGGGAGTTTTGTTTATTGATGGGTAGGTTTAGGCACAAGATAATAAATTATAATTCCATTTACATGCCCCAAATACAGCTTAAGTGAATGAGCATGGCGCTACATTGTTATTATCTCGTTCAGTGGATCAGTGTACACTCGATTTTCATTCTCAGCTTCCTGGGGTTCATACAATCGATAGCAAAGTTACTTCTCTTCTTCTCTGCTCATATCTCAGATCCATCAAAACGAGGATGACCTTGGCCTTGGTGGCGTTCCTGCCAGTCTAAAGACCGGAAACGCCGGAGGAAGACTCGCTTGTTGTCCCATCGTGTGGTCCGATGACAACGATTGGCGAACCTAATTTCATTTTTAATGTATAATTATTACCTTCTGAAATATAAGTATTGCATTTGGAAATAGCAGTATTGTTTTCTTAAATATATTCAGGAATGAAAGATGTAGGGCGGTGAAGTTGACATTTTGTACTGTCGAAAGCGTGTAATTTACTGTTGTAATATGGCATCATTGTTAACTGATGTGTTGGATATTTTTTTATGTAAGCTGAGGAATCTTGACAAGCAGCCTGAGGTAACATTTTGTCCATGACATCAACAGTTGTATATCGAGACTGGCTTTGATATTCGTATGCCTTTCACTGTTGGTCAGAATTGGTCCCCAATACACCACGTTTGTCATGTGAGCTGATACATGGGAATCGGATGTTTACAAAGTGCGGCATGTGTTACTGTACGTTATGGTGCCAACCACTTGCGAGGACTCAGTTTTGTACTTGCCTTTGCATGCGTTTGTGACGGGTGACACCGGTGGGGGCGTAGTACACTCAGCTTTCCGCGAACGCCTGGTATCATCACTATATATTTGATAGTGATTCATATACGCATGATCATAATATCGGAATCGTATAATTGACTCTGCTTTTAGCAGAGTTGTCTTTTTAATGAAATGGATTTTTTTGGGGTCGTTGTTATTGTGATATAGCTACTCTCTGATATCGCTGATTGAGGGGCATATTACATTCAACCATTTACTGTAATCCTTCTGGTGAATGCCTGTATATTTGAAAAGATGCAATGCCGCTTATTGCAGGAATAAATCGCAGAATGGACGTCCGTGCGCAAAACATTCATAAAGACGACAATGCCCTTTCATTAATCATAAGAATCACTGCTAAAAACAGATTTCACTACTATTCCTAAAAATGTGTTTCTGAAGCACAATCAAATATTGATGACACAAGGTGTTTGCGAAAAGATGATCGTATCCTGCCCCACCGATGGCACCATTACAGACACATGCAAAGGCAAGTCAATTGTATACCTGAAAAACGGGAATATTTAAAAAATAACTAGGGAATTGTATCAGACATCATTTTCGTCACTGATGCGTCAAATTTGAAATCTCCTCCACAGGTCTGCAATAAAACATTTTGAAAGTTTTACTTAGGCCTTGAAAGTTGCAGCTGTGAGTCGAACTCAATGGGACCACTAAATTTAGTTCGTTATAACCGTAGTTCGTTATAAGCATATATACAGCATAACTACAGCAAACAGTCGGGACAAATAAGTAAGTTCGTTATATCCGTCAGTTCGTTATAAGCGTGTTCGTTATAAACGTAGTTTACTGTATTTGAAATTGATAGCACCTCAAAAGTTGTGAAATGCAGACACCAAAGGATGGATCTGATGGAATAATGCTCGACATTAAGGGAAAGTTGACATTTGGAAAGTTGAAGTCCTCCTCTTGTGATACAGTCTTGTAGGTAGCAATTATCACTCGGAATTTTTAGGCATATTACTATAAAGAAAATGGAATTACAAATATTTTATCACGTTACATGCCACGTGTTAAGAGAGTTAAAAAAAGGGGTATTACAAAACAGACCATGTTCCAGTATCTCAAACCTGCCAAGAGTCAAATCGATAACGCACATCGGACATGACCAGGGACCAGTATATCTCACTGCGCTGCTCAGATAGAGTTAGGCAAACAAATTTAAGACGTTAATACCTTTATCTGTATCAACAGCTGTTTATCATCCATATTATCAATTCACACGTACCACGTATACATTCGTGGCACAATCATAACCGGTTAGCTATTATTCTTACTATACTTCACTCATAAACACCTCTCGTCTCTTCTATGACTAGACTAGGTAGGTAAAATCAGCGAGCGGGAATTAGCTATTTGACAATCACTGAAAGATATCACATATATATTCTTTATTCCTCCATAGGAGAGTTACAAACATATAAATACAGTATTTACAAGTGTACGAAAACAGGCATTTTTATGTTAAGTCTATCCCTGCTCACATGTCAGAACATATAATGTTTCTTCACAAGGTCTATATATTTCTTCAATTGGAAGAGACCTATGACTGCAGCTTTTGCAAAGTTCTCTACCATCTCTGGACTTGCTGGGATCGGGGGCGTACATGCTAGGAGACAGCAAACTAACTCAATTTCCTGCTTGTTATGAAGAGCCACGCTGACTTCCACTGGACAAGTGTCGACTATGCTACACCACAAACTGTCTCTGAGTTGCTCTGTCTGTGGACATATACACACAACATGGACGAGCAAGTCCTGGTGGGCAAACATACACATGTCACACACTCCCTGGACTTTCCCAGGTCTCCAGACTGCGCACAAGTGGATCACGAAGGTTGCAGCTTGTTTCAGATCTGGGTTTCTTCTAGCAATTTCCCATGCTTTGTGAGGGGAGATAACCGGATGAATTTGTTTAAAATGCATTAGGTCTGGATCAGAGTTTATGCGTTTTCTCCAGGTTTCAAGATCATTCGCTTTAATGGCATCTTTCACAATTTTCTTCCAGGTATGACAGCTGGGGAATGTACCATGGGTACTAAAGCTGCTCAAGAATTGCTCAAGATTATATTTAGACATAATACGTTTAATGTCAGGAACATAACCCAGGGAAGTGGTAGAGCAATAGTAATTTGAGAGGGAAAGCCTAGTACTGAAAATTCTTCTCGGAAGGAACGTTATTCTACTATTGCATAGGTTCCCTAGAAACAGAAGTTTTCTCTTGTCTATTTCAGATTCCAAGGGGGTCCATCCAATTAGGGCATTACAAATATCAGTCCGTGTGCTTCAAAGGGAGACCTTGTGCAATTTTTAATGCAGCTCTCTGGGCACGCTCTACAGATAACAGTTCAGCTTTGCTTAAGCCACACCACAATTCACATCCATACAGGGCTCTTGGTACACAGACGCTCTTTAAGATGTTGGAACTCACCAGAGGGTTCAGTCCTCTTACGTGGACTCCTGTTCTTAACAACGCCATTGTGGTAGACCTCATCTTTGAGCAGGCATCTAATGTCCGTTCCCAGGAGCTGTATTCCGAGTCAAGTAAAATTCCAACATGTTTAATTTCTCTTGTAGTAGTGATTTCTTGACCATACAATGTTATATTGATGTTAGCGGCACTTGATGGGCCAAAGGTCAATAATTTGCTCTTTGACGGAGAAAATGTAAACCTCCATTGCCCACTGTATGTTTCACAAATAGACACCATTTCTTGAAGATGTGCTGGCACTGGAGAGATCAAAGTGATATCGTCAGCTTGGGTGGGAGCAGTAATGCTGACGTCCAGTACAACAGATCCCTTCTTACTCCTAACTAAGTTTCGCAAGAGCTCATCTATATACAGTAGGTATAGTTTTGCAGATAAAATGCTCCCTTGTCGAACACCTCTGTGAAGTTGAAACCAGTATGACTTCTCGTTGTTTGCTAAAACGCAACTTCTCATATCCGTGTAAATATGATCAAAAATTGTCCAGAGCGGATGTGGCACTTCCATATAGTAGAGTTTCAGGAGAAGGCCAGGCTGGTAGACAGTGTCGAAGGCCTTAGAGCTATCAAGGAATGCTACATGAACTACATCAGAACGCTCTGAGTAATGGTAAGCTGTTTCTTGTACCAGAAATGATGTGTGGATTGATGACATTCCTTTTTGGAAACCAAACTGTTGATTGCATGGGAAGGAGTCAGAATCTGTGATCTGTGGAAGTCTTTTAGATAGCACAAGTTCAAACACTTTAAATATAACTGGAAGGAGTGTCACGCCTCTATAAGAGTCTGGAGACATTTTAGATTTATCTCCGCCTTTAAATATGGGTACTATAACCCCATTCTTCCAATCTCTTGG